TTTTCCTGCAGCCCCCTCCCCTCTGACGCATTCGAGGATTTCCAGGGTCTGGAGCACCCATGGCCATACCAACGCCCACTGGGCCACACAAACACAACTGGCAACACAAACGCGTTCTCTCTCTCTCTCTCTCGCGGGTGGATCGCGGATGGGACGACGACAACTAAGAACGAGCAACAAACAAGGCAAAACCAACAATCCACCCCGCGGAATCCAATTTCGGCCACGCACCAGAGGACGAGGAATGACCTCGCGGCCCCCGCACTCTGATATATGTTGCAACCCATGTGGGGGAAATTTACGTGGTGCAAATCACCCTGCCGAACTTGAAGTCGCCGGTTCCACTGCTCGCGCAATTCTCCTACCCACCCACCCGCAACTTGGCTTGCAACATCCATGCGCTGGCGATTGCGATGGCTGCTTGGTGTTGGCTTGTGCATCTGTGCGACCGCGCCAGCCCGCGCATGCTCGCGGGCGCAGCGACCAGCTAGTTTGGCGCGACCGACGCAAACGCGGTGGCGCTGACCGCTCGGCGCATCCCAGCGGGCACTTCACTGCGAGTCGGCGACTTGGGCGGGCGTTGTGCAAGTGCAACGTCGACAATGGTAGACACGGTGATGGTTGTAATGCTGGTGGCGATGCTGACCGCGACGACGGCACGGCCAGTGACGGTGCCGATGCTGATCACGCCAACGACGATGACGGCGTTTTCGCGTCGGTGGTGGAGGTCTTGGAAGGAGTTCGAGATGCGGGCGCGGCGGCCGCGCGAGAGTGGCCCACGTGGTTTTATGTTACACGGATCGTGCCACCCCCGCGCGCGCGCGCAAGGGCGTTCGAACGATTTCGACATGCGCGCGCGAAACCCGTATGGTAGCATGTTGCGAACATGTCGAGTAACAACAGGCACCGATGGTTTTCTTGAGAAATCGAAAGAGCGTTCGCAGCGAAATTTTTTATCTCGATTTCTTTTGATACCGAGCATGTTTGAAAAGCTTTGGCATGCGCGCGCGACGACGCGTGCGTGCGCAGTTCGTTCCATGTGTTGCGCAAACACATGAAAACATATGGTTTTTTTATAAAGAGTGCGCGCGCGTAGCTTTTGTTGATGAAGATGGCGGGGGATGTCGAGATTGGCCCGGCTGGGATGGTACGCGTTCGTATTTCGCATGGGCGATGGGACAGAATCATGTGCATTTTGCAATACGAAAAAAGAGTGCTGATATTCCCACGTTGGGGGGTTAGGGTCTGTTTCCTTTTACGAAATACAATCTATGCGGGGCGGCGACTTGGCGACGACAGCGCGGCGACGGCGAGCGAGGAATCGCCAGACCGCCACCCAGGCCCAGACGACGGGCGGCGACGAAGCGGCGACGGCGACGACATAACCGCCAGACCGGCCGCCAAGCCCACACGGCGGGCGGCGACGAGGCGGTGGCGGGGCGGCGGCGGCGACGGCATAGCATTTTTAGAACCTACGTTGAAGCATTGTTTCCGGAATGTGTATGTATTTGTTTAAACGTATACGATCTATTCGGGCGAAGAAAACTATGCACACACACGCACACATACACCGATTCTTGCTTGGCCCCTCCTGGGCCCAGGATCCTGGGCTCAGGATGGGCCTGGCCAGAATCGGTGTATGTGCATAGTTTTCTTTATTCGATATACTCATACATGTGTGTGCGTGCATCCGCATGTATGTACACCAATATACATAAACGCAGATCCCCACAGTTGTGACCTTGCGTATTTTTTGTTGACATGCACAGACACACGTAGACATGGATGGCTCTACGTGTGTACATACTACACACCTCTATGTTTATATAGAGTGTAAATATGCATGTGCATCTGCATACAAAAACATTTGCTGTGTACGCATATAATATACATGTTGTGTACAGGGCGTATAACCTGCACGTGCGCAAACACAAACCGCAAATGCACGGCGTTGGCGGCGCGCATCGAACGGCTGGGCGCCCGCCGGCCTGGCTTCCTGGCCATCCGCACCCGGGCCGTGCCCCGCCCCTCGCACCAACAGGCTGACCAGGCAGCAGCCTGGCGGCTCCAAGAGCTCGACGGTCGCCGGCGCCGGCCGCGGCCTCAGGCGCCCTCGACTTCCCTAAGTCCCTTCCTTCGGGGAGACGTAAGACTCGAGTATGCCGGAGCACGGGTTTGCCGACTTTCGTTTGACGAGCGCATCCTGGATTTTGACGGTCCCGTTTTCGCGGGATGTTTGCAGCGGGAGCCCGCGTCGCCCGCGTCAAATTTCAGATTGGGTCTCGTCAGGCCACCCCGAGTCTTCCGTACCCGAGTCTCACGTCTCCCCGACTCATCCCTTCCTCCTCCCTTCTCCCCTCTCCCCTGGCGCACAGTCCGAGTCCCAACATCCGCTTCTCAGACGGGGAAGCAGTGCGCACAAAAGCTACTCCGCGCTCCTTAGAGGAGAGACTGGGTTTAGCTGAGGCCAGACGACGCCGAAGGAGAACAGACAGCGGTTCCACTGCAATACCCGCCATGTTCCATCACATGGAATCAGGTGTGTCAGGGCCTTGACCAGGACGCGGAATTGCGTTGTGATGTATTCATCTCGCACACGAAGCCTTGCCGCGAGGACCAGAGGCCGAGCTCCGCACCTCCCGCGCAAGGCCCTCGAGCCCAAGATCTGGGGCTCTGACCCCCTTGATAAACCCGAGCGGGCTCTCAGGAGGGCTTGAGCCACAAGTCGCTGCGGCCCACCTCCTCCCCGGCTCGCCTTCTCCCTCCCCCTCCCTCCTCCACTCCCCTCCACCTTTGCCGCTGTTCCCTGCTCACCCCTCCTCCCACTTCTCGTCCCCCCACCTTCGTACCCGACGCCCCGCGGTGATGCTCGAGGCTCAAGCCCTTGATGCTCCCCCGTAGCCATTTTGGCTCAAACCTGTGGTGCTCGAGGCTCAGGCGTGCGCACGGGATCTGTAACACCTCTGAGTGGCCCCATCGTCGACTGAGGCTAGCGACAAAGCGCCTCTCCTATCCCATGGCGGCGCAGTGATTCTCCCCGCCCGCACGGGTTGTAGCTCCGCCCTTTTCAAACAAGGCTCTCGAGGGCCATGCAGCCTCCTCCTCTCTCGCCTCTTCATGCTCCTCCCTTTTTTCCTCCTTCCTGCCCTCCTGTCCCTCCTCCTCTTCCTTATCTTCCTCCACGTTCATGGAAGATTTCAGTATGATTCCTCATGGAATGATTTGCATCGGATTCCTACAACGGATTTCAATCGGATTCGCTGTGCAAAAAGAATTAAGAACGGACTCTTGTTGTAAAGGATTTAGACAGGATTTCTCTTGCCGAGAATTTCAATCGGGTTCCTTCCGCCGAGAATTTGAATCGGATTCTTTTTGCAGGGAATGTCACTAGGACTTCTGTTGTGGAAGATTTGCACTTGTATTTTCATGATGGATTTTACTTGAAGGGAACAGGGAGGAGAAGCAACAACACATTGAACACCCAATGCATGTACGATAGTTGTTGTGTTTGTGGTTTGTTTCATGTGTATTCGCATAGCAAGCATACAAACACACAGCGTGTTCATTATCCAAAGCGCCAACACGTTGTCAACTCCCAGCTCTACATTCAGTGCATTCAGAGCGTAAAACATGTTTGTCTTTTTTCTTGACATAATTGTACAGCAAATCTATGTCAGGAAAAAGGCCCTTTGGGCCAAGTGGCCGCCGCCCCAAAGCCATCAACCGTGCGCCCAAGAGGGCCACACGAATGATTAACAATCATTGGTGCTTCCTTTCGTTGTCAAGGCTTTTGGCGTTCTCGCCTTCCCGGGCCTCAAACGCTCCAACACGACGGCGCCATGGTCCTCACGGATCGCGCCGCGCAAGCGCAAGAGGCCCCCAAGAGCGCCCAAGATTGTCCAAGAGAGCCCCAAGACGGCCCAACAGGGTCTCATGACGCCCCAACGGCACCCCAAGAGGACGTCCAAGACCGTCCCACGACCGCCCCAGATGCTCCCAAGGCGGCCCAAGAGGGTTCCGAGGCAGCCCACAACGGCGCCAAAACTGCTCCAGAAGCCCTTGGACTGCCCTTGAAGCCCCCCACGACGCCCCGTCAAGGCCATCACGAGCAAGTCCAAGAGGCCCCTTAGAAATTACGCGACCGAGGAACCCCACATACTTCGTTTCAACTCTTGTCTTAGCATAGCTGACGTGCAACATGCGTGGATGATGTTAGGTGGTCACGAAAGTGGCACGCCTCCTGTGCCGTGGACGAACGACCAGGGCGGATAGCGCCCCCACCCCCAGCGCACCCCCTGCGGCGTCGAGGAAACGCAGCGCCCTGCAAGCCTGCAGCGCTTGGCGCCCCCACCCCCAGCGCACCCTCTGCGCCGTCGAGGAAATGCCGCGCCCTGCAAGCCTGCAGCGCATATCGCCCGACCCCCAACGCACCCCCCTGTGGCGTCGGAGGACTGCCACGCCTGTCGCGCCCTGCGAGCCTGCAGCGCATTGCGTCCAACCCCCAACACATTCCCTGTAGCGTCTAGGAAATGCCACGCCTGCCATGCCCTGCGAGCCTGCAGCGCATAGCGTCCCCACCGCCAGCGCACCCCCTGCGCCGTCGAGGAAATGCCACGCCTGCCATGCCCTGCGAGCCTGCAACGCATTGCGCCCCCCACTCCCAGCGCACCCCCTGTGGCGCCGAGGACCCACGCCTGCCATGCCCTGTGAGCCTGCAACGCACAGCGCCACCCCAGTGCACCCACTCTGGCGTCAAGGACATGCAACGCCTGCCATGCCCTGCGAGCCTGCAACGCATAGCGCCCCCGCCCCCGACGCACCCTCTGTGGCGTCGAGGACATGCCACGCCTGTCATGCTTTGCGAGCTTGCAACGCATAGCGTCCCCACCGCCAACGCACCTCCTGTGGCGTCGAGGAAATGGCGCGCCTGCCATGCCCTGCGAGCCTGCAGCGCATAGCGCCCCCCACCCCCAACGCACCTCCTGTGGCGTCGAAGGATTGCCACGCCTGCCATGCCCTGCGAGCCTGCAACGCATAGTTAGCGCCCCCCCCCCCAGCGCACCTTCTGTGGCGTCGGGGGAATGCCGCGCCGACCATGCCCAGCGAGCCTGCAACGCATAGCGCCCCCACCCCCAACGCATGCCCCACGGCGTCGAGGAAATGGCGCGCCTGCCATGCCCTGCGAGCCTGCAACGCATGGCGCCCCCACCCCCAGCGCACCCCGTGTTGCGTCGAGGAAATGCCGCCCCTCTCACGCCCTGTGAGCCTTCAACTCATAGCGCCCCCCACCCCCAATGCATCTCCTGCGGCGCCGGGGCAATGCCACGCCTGCCATGTCCTGCGAGCCTGCAACGCATAGCGTCCCCACCGCCAACGCACCTCCTGTGGCGTCGAGGAAATGGCGCGCCTGCCATGCCCTGTGAGCCTGCAGCGCATGGAGCCCCCAGTCCCAGCACCCCCGGTGGCGTCGAAGGAATGCAACGCCTGCCATGCCCAGCGAGCCTGCAACGCATAGCGTCCCCACCGCCAACGCACCTCCTGTGGCGTCGAGGAAATGGCGCGCCTGCCATGCCCTGCGAGCCTGCAGCGCATAGCGCCCCCCACCCCCAACGCACCTCCTGTGGCGTCGAAGGATTGCCACGCCTGCCATGCCCTGCGAGCCTGCAACGCATAGTTAGCGCCCCCCCCCCCCCCCCCAGCGCACCTCTGTGGCGTCGGAGAAATGCCGCGCCGACCATGCCCAGCGAGCCTGCAACGCATAGCGCCCCCACCCCCAACGCATGCCCCACGGCGTCGAGGAAATGCCGCGCCGACCATGCCCTGCGAGCCTGCAACGCATGGCGCCCCCACCCACAGCGCACCCCGTGTGGCGTCGAGGAAATGCCGCGCCTGCCATGCCCTGAGGCCTGCAACGCATACCGCCCCCCTGAGCCTGCAGCGCATAGCGCCCCCGCCCCCTGCGCACCCCCTGTGGCGTCGAAGAATTACCACGCCTGCCATGCCTTGCGAGCCTGCAGCGCATAGCGCCCCCACCCCCAGATGCCACGCCTGCCATGCCCTGCGAGCCTGCAGCGCATAGCGACCCCACTTCCAGCGCACCCCATGTGGCGTCGAGGAAATGGCGCGCCTGCCATGCCGTGCGAGCCCGCAACGCATAGCGCCCCCACCCCACCGCACCCTCTGCGGCGTCGAGAAAGTGCAACGCATGCCGTGCCCTGCGAGCCTGCAACGCTGAGAGACCGCACCCACGGATGGCGGCCGTATTCGTATGCTTTGTATATGGCGTGTCAGGTGTATGTGTATGATGCGTGTGCGGGCGTATGCGGACGTGTGTCTTGCGAGCCTGGAACGTATAGAGATCATGTTCAGGGACCACCCCCTGTGCATGATCTCTGGTGTCGAGAAAGTGCCACGCCCGCCGTGCCGTGCGGGTCTTGAGCGTATAGAAACCGCGCTGTGAGTGCACGGGATTGACTAGGTCTGCGTTGGTGTGCCATGTGTATGTGTCAGATATTTCGGGCTGTACGTGGGCGTGTGTTTCATGTGGGTGCCCAGTCTGCGGTGCATACGTCTTGGGTGCAAGATGCAGTGAACACGCCAGGCGTGCACAATCACTCGCGTTGTAGGGTGTGTGGTCTTGTGTGCGCGCGTGTCTGCATGATTGTCTTGTGTTTTGTGTGCCCTGTGCATGTGTCAGATGTCTTTGCGTCTGTATGTGGACGCGTGTCTCAGTGGTGATGTATGGTGCGTATACGGCTGTATGTGGACGTGCGTATCATGTGGATGCAGTGCGTTGTGTCGTGCTCCGCATGCATCTGATGCGTGTGCGCGGCTACTGCGTGTGCGCACGTGTGCGCATGCCTTGTGTGCGTGTGTCTATTGTGCGCGTGAGCGTGGAGGAGTGGAGGAGGAGAGGTGAGGATCAATCAGTGGCGAAGCGTCCTGGCTCGTCTACAGGCCAACCAAATAATGTTATCCATTTGTTGTTTGCGAGAAACATTATCAGAAAATGCCTGGCTGTGCTTGTCGTGTTTTAACACGCTGGGCTTCTTCATGTTCTACGAGCATCGTTTCTGTTCTTAGAACATGCTAAGGTTTTAAGAGGCCGTCTTGGAGGCCGTCGTGGCCGTCTTGGATACATTTTGGAAGCTATCTTGGAGCTGTCTGGGCCAGGAAAACCGTTTGCAACCACCTTTTGTGGGGCTTTCCGGGCCTTTCCGGGACCCTGGCGGGCTGGGCCGAAGCCCCATGGGGAGTTTTTTTGGGGGAAACAGAACCCACAACCAAAAGCGAAAGTGTTCAGCACGCCAGGCACCCTTGTGATGAATCAGCAGGGGGTGGCGGATCTGAGTGGCCTTCGGCCGTCACCGTGCCTGTGTTGTGGGTTTGAGGCCTCTTGTATATGTGTTGGGGTGTCGTGGGGGGCCTCTTGGAGGCGGTTTGGGCGCCTTTTGAGGGCCTCTCGGGGCCTCGTGGGGTATCCATAAAGCCATTCGGATG